AGTTGGATCTGACAATAAATCAAGCAAAACAGGGAAGAATCTGTCCATATAACGAAACATCTTTTTTCAATTAAAAATAATTTTTAAATAATTTTTAAAAATCAAACATTTGTTGGATTTGTAGAATGTAAATGTCTTATCCAATTTAATGTCGCTACTCTCGTCTCTGTCCTTTCATGCCTCAAATGGGCCAAAAGAACTTCAACAACAGCCTCTACAGGAATTTGTGAATCTGTTTTAACTAGTGATGTTAATCTTTGATTTAAATCATTTGGAAGAGAAAGTGGTCGAGAACCAGCAAAATCATTTGACATGTTGTCGAAAAGATAAGGCAAAATAGAGATAAGAAAGGAAGGGAGACTTGGAAGAATTTTGTCGCCATAATAAATATTAATCTGCAAGAAAGGGAGAATAATTGGTGTTAAAATTTAATATTTTATAAAATGTTTGGCAAGATTTTTAAAAATTTTTTGGGTATCGATTAAAGGAAAAATCAATTTTTAGATGGGAAATCCTCAAAATTTTGATCAATTAAAATCAAAATTTTAAAAATCAAAAGGGGGCCGGCCCTTCAATAAAAAATTAAAAACCTGATTGAGCCACTGAATTGCAATATCACGCACAATAGGTACTTGAGAAGTTGCTTGAATAACCAATACATTAATAACACCCTCTAATTTAACCTTTAAATAAAAAAAATATTTAAAAAAAAAATAAAAAAATTACATTGTCACTCCGTTTTGGATCCAATTTATTTTGCATTTCTGTTAAAACGGATATAGTAATTTCGTGTACAGCAGGTGAGGGATCTTCCAAAGCTTTAAAGACTCCATCCAAAACCTCTGGAAAATATTCGCTAACAGAAAAATCGGGCACAGTTAAAATTGAGAAAAGCTAAAAAAATAATTAAAATATTTTTTTAATTATAAGGAATGCTTATCTATTAAAAAATTCATTAATAAAACTAAAGAATCTCGTAAATTAGAAAATAAGGAGCAAATGTTGCAAAAAATATAAAACAATTTTCTCAATTATTAGGAATGCTTATTTACAAGACATTTTTCATTTAGAAGTCAATAAAATGGGGCCCGAAAAAGGTGACACAACCGTCTGCTGAACTCGAAAATGGCAACCCTATTTAGAACAGATATCTAAAGATTATCTAATTTAAATCGATAAACCTAAATTATTGAAAATATAGCCTGGTATGTAAATTAACTGAATTAAAATAAAATCAAAAGAATTTTAAATAAATATCATCAAATTAAAATTACCCAAGATATAATAAATCTTTTATTTGAAGAATCAACAGAATATATTCGTTCTCTAATTACAACCATTAAATTTTGTAAATCAAAAGATTTTGTTGAAATAACAATTTCCTGAAAAAGATAATAAATTAAATTTAATAAAATATTCAAGAAAACCTTTACAAGTCTGTCCAACAATTCAGAACCATTTCGTACATTTTGATCAGGATCGGAGGATAGATTCCAAAGAATATTAAAAAGTTCATCGAATTTTACTAAAACTGATGCTCTACAGACCTTGACTATGTTATACAAAGACTAAAAATAAAAAAAGTTAATTTAAAGTTATTTTGAAAATTAATTAAAAATCAGAAATGTATGGCTAAATAAACCAAATCTATAACTAGGGTTGCCGGCCCAGTTCGGTTCGATAGATCGAACCGGGCATCGAATTTTGGCCCGAAAAAGACTCGAACGTCGGCCTGGTTCAAAAACAGCAACTCTATCTATAACATTAAAATATTTTCTTTTTAAGTAAAATTAATTTTTCCGGAATAAAATTTTCTGAAATTTTTTCTTTAACTAAAAATAAGGGGAGGGAGGTTCTAAGAAACAAAAAAACTACAAAAAAAGTTTAAACATTTAATTAAAAAAAATTTAAAAGTAAAAAAAGTAAACAAACCTCACAAGCAAAATATCTAACGCGAGAATCATGATCCAAAAAACAAGTAAAAACAGGTTCTAACAATTTAACTGCATAAACAGCTGAATGCTAAAATAACAAAAAACTTAAAAAAACATTAGAATATTTATTCTAACTTTACTCCCCAAAGCAATAGCTGTAGCAGCTAACCCAATTAATCCGCCCTTTCTCATATTTCCATTTGGCGTTGTTGTTAATTGCTCTAAAACAGAAATTATTTTTTCTACATCAGCTATATTGTTTGATTTAATTAATTCTTTTGTTTGTCTAAAAAAAGAATTTTAAATTAAAAAATTTACAAAAAAAACTTTTCAATTTCCAAAGCTGCTGCCTTTCTTTTTTCATAAAGTTTGTCAGTAAGTGTTCTAACGACAGTCTGTGTTAGTGGAGAATATTGATTCTCAGACATCTAATACTATGACATATAAAAATATTAGAAATGTCTGAAAGAAATTTAATTAAAAAAAATTAACTGATAAAAATTTAAAAAGAATAAAAATGGGGGGGGGGGGGGGGGGAAGGGTTTTTCTTATATTTAATTAAATTAATTACGTCAGATTTTTACATATATATTTTTCCAATTTTTGGCTTTCGTGTATATGTTTTATTTTTGCTTTTTATTCTTTTTTTTGTTTCCTTTTATTGTTTTAGAGAGATAAACAACAATTTGCACAACCAAAGGCAATTATTCAATGCCACAAATAATTTTTAATAAAAATTTAAAATTTTTTAAATTTTCTTTAATTTTTCGGTTTTGTTTAGTAAAATCGGTTTGTTTATTAAAATGATGAAATAGTGTTGTTATGCTATAATGGAATAAATAATCTGTAAAGAAACATGAAAACAATTAATTGACTTGAATTATATATCAAAAAGTCAGCAAGACTCTTTTGTCTTTACATTTATTTTCAGTCTCAGCACAAACCTAAACCTTTAGGCTTGCTTGTCAATAGAGTCTCGGCGACTTAGCATCGAAAAGCCTTTTTCTATGCCATAACTTTTTTTATTTCGATCATTTCCAGAAATTTTCTTTATCAATTAGAATCTATGATTGTTTTTATTCTTTTTATTAACTTTATGAAAGGATCCGATCATTTCTTAGAAAGTTACACACGCCTAAGTATGTTAAATCACGATTATTCGCAGTTAACGGCTCCTAACTTTTTTTAAAGACGGTAAAACTAAACAATTTCTATGAAAAAATAACCAGCACATCCAGAGCTTTTAATTAAAGCAAAAATTATTTGGATTGATTTAAAAACCATTTACCAATGCCATTTAAATTTATTAAAAAGAAATCTTTAATAGAAATTATCTAAAAATAAAAATTAAAATGATTTTAAATTAATTTAAATTAATTAAAAAATGTAATTAAAAATTTTTTAAATTTTTTTAAAGTTTTTAGTGAGTGATCAGACTTGACCCAACAAGTTGTAAAAAGGTTACTAATTGAAAGATGATATACATAACTTCAATCGGATTGTGTAAACTAAAAAAATATGCCGTCAAAGCTAGCTGGCAATTATATACTCAACCGTTCCGTTGTTTGGGGTAAGGGACTATTCAGAGTAGCCGATTCAGAGTACGGGGAAAAGGGGATGATTCAGAGTACGAAGAATAAAATATCCTAGAAATCGAGATTTTTGGAATGCAATTGTTTTATTTTTGCTTTTTATTCTTTTTTTGTTTCCTTTTATTGTTTTAGAGAGATAAACAACAATTTGCACAACCAAAGGCAATTATTCAATGCCACAAATAATTTTTAATAAAAATTTAAAATTTTTAAAATTTCTTTAATTTTTCGGTTTTGTTTATTAAAATGATGAAATAATGTTGTTATGCTATAATGGCATAAATAATCTGTAAAGAAACATTAAAACAATTAATTGACTTGAATTATGTCAAAAAGCAAGACTCTTTTGTCTTTACATTTATTTTCAGTCTCAGCACAAACCTAAACCTTTAGGCTTGCTTGTCAATAGAGTCTCGGCGACTTAGCATCGAAAAGCCTTTTTCTATGCCATAACTTTTTTTATTTCGATCATTTCCAGAAATTTTCTTTATCAATTAGAATCTATGATTGTTTTTATTCTTTTTATTAACTTTATGAAAGGATCCGATCATTTCTTAGAAAGTTACACACGCCTAAGTATGTTAAATCACGATTATTCGCAGTTAACGGCTCCTAACTTTTTTTGAAAGACGGTAAAACTAAACAATTTCTATGAAAAAATAACCAGCACATTCAGAGCTTTTAATTAAGCAAAAATTATTTGGATTGATTTAAAAACAAAAAAGTTATATCCCAAAAACTTTCGTTTTGATGCCATATTTTAAGACTCTTTCGTTACCTGGTTACTTTTAGCCTAAACCTTTTGAAGCCTAAACCTTTAGGTTTTTGAACATTTGAGTCTCACCACGTCTTCAATTTTTTTTTAATTCTAGCTTTTTTAATCGTTTGTTCTTCTTAATTAGTGTGTAAAGATAAACCAAAACTGATATTCTGGCATTAGAAATCCCATAAATTAAGAATCACATAGATAATTTTTGAATTTATTTATAAATTCCTTGGAGAATTTCATTCCTGAATGGAATATAAGCGATGTTGGAATTTCGTCAACAACAGCCTCAACCCAAACGGCCCTCTTTAGGGCCACAAATTTAATAAGTGAGATGAGGGCCGAAAAAACTCAAGAAAAGTCTAGAGTCAAGACTTGGAAACTTTTTAAAATGTTCATCAGATCGTAGGAACTGAGAAAAACCACAAAAATCGCAAGAAAAACTGATTTTCTAGGTCCGAAAATTTATGTACTCTGAATCGTCCCCTTTTAGCCGTACTCTTAATGGCGGACTTTGAATTGTCCCATATTCTGAATTTGCGACTCTGAATCGACCTTTTCCCATCATTTTCTAAAAAATTTCTTAAAATTATGGGGCCTCGTGGAGAATCTCGATCAAATCAACCAAAAGTGCCTGCAAACGTAGATAATACTGAAGAAGATGAAAACGATCAAAATGATGAATGGCGGATAGGTTTTGATGTTGAAATGAGAGGAGTTGGAATTGAAAGAAATTCAAATAGTTCAGGTTTATTTTAAATTAATTATTCAAAATTTCAAATAAATTTCTTAAAGAAGACGATGAATCTTCAAATGAATCAGAACAACAAAATGGTTATCAACAACTTCCAACCTCCTCTAATAATAATACAAGTTGGATTCCGACAACACAAAGATTTGATTTGCCTGAAGCTCCATTCGTTGAACATATTAAAATTGAGCATCAACCAAATGATATTTCATTGGATAAAGGTTTTTTGGAATTATTTTTGTAAAAATAAATAATTTATAATTTAAGATAAAATTGATCAAATAAAATCAATAATGACTAACATAAATGGGGCTTTAATTGAAAATATTCCACAACAACCCGAATGGTTAAAGAATGTTGATGACAAACAATTAGGTGAATTAATTCGAGAACTTGCAAAAAAATAAAATTGGATTTTTTGGGAAATGTTCATATTCACGTTTGAATCCTCGGTACTTATTTCCTTCCCCTTCCCCAGCCCGCGATTTAGTTGATCTGCGAAATGGTCAGTCAATTTTTCTTTGCATTATTTTAAAAATTTCCCTGTAGTCACATTCACTCACTCTTCCTTCAATAATTTACTTTTTATTTGGTCTTTGAGTCTAAAAAATAGAACATCGTTTTATTCAGTTATCTATAAATAACAAGGGCAAAAAACTGCCTGAATTGAAGGCAGAGTGAGTGAATTAATGTGACTACAGGGAAATTTTTTAAAATTATGTAAGGAAAAAATGACTGACCATTTTGTACTTCAATTAAATCGCGGACTGGGGGGGACGCAAAAAGTAATGTTTGAGAGTTCAAGGAATCGATATTTTCCTCGATTTTTTATTTCATTCCGTTTAATAAATTTTTATAAACAAATTTTTAATAAATTCTCATTTACTAAAATATTTTTTTTTTCGAAAAGGCACTAATAAATTATTTTAATTTTTCTGTTTTTAAAAGTAATTTTTTTTAAATAATTTCTTATTTGATATTTTTTGTTTTTAGTTCGTTTTATTTTTACATTAAAAATATTTAGAATGAGTAGTAGCTATCATTCACAAGATTTAAGTGAGCCAAGTGAAAATTCTGGTGATGATGGTTTTAGTGAATTACGTGATATTATTGATGAAATGGGTTACAGCATTGAAAATGATGAATTATGTGAACTTGAAAAAGGTTTTTTGTTTGAATAATTAATGAAAATTGGTTTTTTTGGAGGTTGCTTATTTTTATGATTTATTTTTAGGAGTAATCTTTGATCCATTAAGAAAGACCAAGTTATTTATCCGGAAATTTCTTTTCAGCTTTTCTAAAATTAAAATTCTTTTTCCGCTTCCATTGTCTGAAAATTTATTAACACACTAATTAATGTATTATTTTTTTTCAAGATCTTCGATTAATTGAAGAAAATGTTGACATTTCTGATACTCGACTATTTTCTTGTTTCTTAGGGGGGCTTGATGGTTCTGCTATTTTCGATCAAAGTTTATTTCATCTTTCTTCTGATTTGGCTGCTCCAATTCCAAGAGGACAAAAGGTTTAAAAATATTTATTTCTTAAAAAATTTTTTTGTTTAGTCCTCTGAAGAATTACCTCCTGGATTTAAAGAATTGTTAGATTATGGTCAAGAGCGTTTAGATGAAATAGTTGCAGACATTAAAAAATATGAAAGATTGGTTAGTTTAAAAAAGTTTTACGTTAGAATAGGTTTGTTAAAATTTGTTAGATTGGTGGCGGCTTGGAAAATATTGAATTCATTAATCTAACAATTTCAATTCGTTTTATTTTTAGATTGAAGAAGGTGAGAGGATTCCTGAAGAGTTTAGACAACAGGAAGGTGTTCAAGAAAGTGTTCAACAACAGCAAGAACCTTCGCCTTCAAGAACAGAGGTTATTAATCAAGAGAAGGAAAATAAACGTCCAGAGCAAACACGTAAAGCAGCACTTGATCCAAAAGAAGAGAATAAATTAATTAATCAATTTCTTCGAGCAAATGGTTTAAAAATTATTTTTAAAATATTTAAAATTAATTTTTAGCTCTTCGTCCAATTCAATGTCCAGAACCAGGCCGAGCACCTTTTAAACATTGCCAACAACTTAAGTTACAACAATATCGTTCTGAATGGGAAAAACAGCCTCCCCCGGGAGAGCAAAAACGATTGGCTTTGCGTTGGAGAATTCGTGAAATTATGTTGAGGAGAGATATGTAAATAAATTATTTTTAAAAATATTTTTAATAATTAAATACTAATTTTTAGTCCACAGCTATGTTTCGTTGAAGAAGAGCGGAACAATAATAATGGTAAAAGACAAAAAGTTTTACCCGAATGGAAGCCATAAAATAAATAAAATATAATTAACATAAGCAACATTTTTTGTATTTTTATTAACATTAAAAATTAAATTTTTTGTTTTAATTTTTGTTTTTAATCAAAAATATTTTTTATATTTGTTCGTACGGCCCTATAATTTTAAAATTATAAAGATTACTAAAATAATGGGACCTAGCAACGAATCTCGATTTAATAAACCAAAAAGACCCAAAAATGTCGACTATAGCGTAGATGATGAAATGAAAGGTGTTGGAGTTGAAGGGAATTCTTCAAATACTACAGGTTGATTTTTACTACTTCAAAAGATGTCAGAAGGTAACAGTTATTTAAAAACATTTAAGGATTTGAACGAAAAAAAATAAAATTCGGTTTTAGGTAGCACTCATTTCGGTCTTTATGTGGGGCCACCACATTGCCTCACCTCTCGGACAGGAATTTGAATGTTCTTGAGAATTCAGAAGTTTATGTTAGGTTAAACGAGATTGATCCAAAATAAATAAAAACGCGGTAGTGCGTTGAGGTAAACTGTATTAATAGAATCTTGGTCGAAAGTCAATATTGCTTTAAAAAATAAATTTTAAATATTTAATTTCCCATTAATTTCAGAAAACCCTTTAAATGGCGAAAAAGAACCGTTTAGTTTTCTTGCAATGATGGGGCGTTCAACACAAGTAAGGATTTCATTTAGTTTCTAAATATTTGCAAAAAAATTTCCTTTAAGGTTGTGGATGATTCAAGTTTGCAACCGAAGTCAGAGATTGGGAATGTTTCTTTATATGGAGGGTCTGAAAAATGTTCTCCTTCATTTTTTGTTGACGAAAATGATGAATTTGTTAAGAAATCTGTACAAGCATTTTGTAGAAAAAATTCAAAAGAAGAAATATACGCTAATTTTAACAGAAATAGAGGGGCTGTTATTAATGTAATTAAAAATTTAAAATATTTTTTAAATTAAAAATTTAAGTTTTATAAAAGTGAAAAAAAGGCGGCAATGAAAAATAAAAGAAATCGCCAAAAGGAAGATAATAATAGTTCTTCGACAAATGAGAAAATGAAATTAGAACAGAGTGAAGAAAAAAATGAATAAAATAAATAAAGAATATTTTTATTTTATTTCTATCCAAATTTAATTTTTTAACGAATTGATAAATGTTATGTTAATTTAAATGAGTGCCGGAAATTTAGGTTATGGAAGGTTAGGTTCCAATTTTTTGGGATTTTGGGTTCCAGGTAGAAACAGAATGTTGTTTTTTCTTTTCCCCTAAATAGAGTAAACCAGCTATTAATAACCAACCTTTAGCTATCGCAAAAGGTTGGTTATTTGGCGGCTGGGAGTGAACCAGCATCTTCAGTAGACCGGACAGATTAGAGTAGACCGGACCATTACACCACGCCTCCTACTGCCTCCTACTGCTTTAGGATTATAAACAATTTTTAGTATTTTTTAGCTTTTTAATATACAAAAGTGGTAAATGTTAGTTTATTTAGTAGAAAATTTATGATTAAATAGTTTTTATTATGTAAAAATATTTTTCAAAGATTATTATAAGTTCATAATGTTCATTCTTAAATAATTTTAATGTTTTTCAATTCTCCAATTTTTCTAAAAAATATTTTGCCTAACAATAGAAAAATACGAATTTAATTGAAAGAGCAGCAAATACTTTTGTGAACGGAAGTAACTGAATTGTGTCCACTCCAAACTTAGGTTGTTATTCTGTTTTTAATGTATTTTCTCTGGCTGGCGCGACCTTTTTAATATTACATATTCATAAATTGAAATCCCTCTTTTCTATTCAAAACTATTATTGTATTTATTTATTTTAGATTTTTCCTTCCAAATAAATTTAGGACGACTTTTATTTATTTTCATTTCTTTTTCAACTACAGCAAATTTTTTCTTTTTTTTCTTAGCACATTTTAAGTAAAATATTTTTAAAGGGGCATTGGATTGAGTTATTTCCAGATTTCCTCCATCTCAGATTTTTCGCACCACCGAAAATTTATGGAATAAAATATAAGAGAGAGTGGGCAAGAGAATAAAATTATATTTATTAATAATTTACCTCATAAATAAATTTCCTGTAAAAATCTTGATAAACTTGTTAATAAACCATAGCAACTAAAAGATGACACTTTTACACTTTTAAAAGGCTACTAATATATTTTAGAAAGTCTTTAACACATTTATTTATTTATTTTGCTAGTCCACTATTAATGACCATTTCATATATTATTTATACACCAAAAATATATTGCTTTCCCCTCTCATATTGTTGCTAGTCCTAAATTTTCGGTTGACTTATTTCGATGTATTTGGAAGGATTTTTTGTTCCTTTGTATATTTTTGCAATTTTTTAGTTTATAAATAAATAAATGAAAATATATACTTCGATTTTTATTCTTTATTTATTTCTAAAAATGAAATTAAAGTTTTTTTTAAGATTAAATTAAATACTGGTAAAAAATAATAGGTTGATTTAAAATAATTTTTATTTGATTTTTACTTATTTTTAAAATTATTATACCTTACAAATCCCATCTTAAAATTAAATGTTTTTAAAGCGAACGATTAAAATGATTTAACAGGAAACAGCTGACCTTAAGGGTAAACAGTGAATGAAATAATTTTTAAGTAAAAGTTACCCTAAAATATTTTAAAAATAAATAAATAATTACCCTTTATCTCTTTATTTTTTTTGAATATTTTTATATAAATATTTATAGATTAATTAATGAATACTTATAATAAATAAATAATTAATCAAATATAGGTAATTATGATTATTTCCAATTTATTGCTAAGATTAACAACAATTATTTTCACTTTTAATTTTATATTGATCTCTACAAGCATTGAAACAGAAAAACATCCCAATACAACCTCAAAAGTTTTAAAACCCCTCGAATCCACAACAGTAAAAATATCTACCACAAAAACCACAACTTCAACATTTTCCCCCACGACTTCATTTCCCCACTTACCCACAACTTCAACACATTCCAAAATTGGTAATAAAACAATAACAACAAAAAAATATAATTTAACAACAACAATCAAAATTAGTGAAAGAAGTAAAACAAATACTCCTACTACTACAATATTAATTCCTACAACTAAAATTGTTAAATTAAATTTAGAATCAACTACTATAAGTAATTTATTAAATGAAAAACAAAAAGAATACAAAAATGATAAAGAAAATAATAATGAAGAGGAAGAAGAAGAAGAGGAGGAGGATGATGATTGGCCAGCGATGCCGATGTTTAAATCTAACTTGAGGAAACCTGTAAATTTAAAGTCGGAAGAATTAAAAGGAGGAAATAAAAAAGAAGAAAATAATTATTTAAATAATTCGTTAAATCTGAGAAATAATTCAATTGAAAATATTTCCAAAATATTCAATTCAATTGACGAAAATAACAATTTAACTGTTACTAAATTAAATAATGAACAAAAAAGTACTGAAAAAATATTTAATAAACTAACAACGGTTACTTTACAACTAACAACAAAAATATCAAGATTGGATGAAGCTACAACAACAGGGATGAATGGGAGAGATTTGTTGAATATTTCTACCTCTATAACAGAAACATCAAAACATAAAACATCAGGCACTCCAAAGATATCAAATCAGTCGACGACATCGGCATCTCCAAGCAATAAAGAACTTACCAAGTTAGAAAATTAAATTAATGTTAAAAATGGGATTGTTAAGGCCATTTTTATTAAATATTTTAGTAGTAGTTGGAATAATCTACTAAAGATAATATACTACTAAAATAAGATACACTTTTCAATTTTAGAACTTTTATAAATTAGGTTAGTCATTGAATCTAATTTCAGGCATACTTCGTTATCACGCAAAAATTTTTAGCCCTAAAGGTGTATGCAAAATCGAGGTTTAATATAAAGATGTGTGTGATAAACGTCAAAATATATTTTTGCTTATAAAATTACAAAAAATTTAGTGGCCCATCATTTACAACCGCTTCTACTCATAAAGTAACAACACTTTCTAGCACTAAATTGAATGATAATTTAAATAATCTTTCTTCTGTTTATCCTTCTGAACCTCTTCAAAACTCGCCTAATTACCCATCAACAACACTCTACAAAAGAACTACTCGATCAACCAGATCCTCACAGAATTATACAACAATAACACCTTCAGGCAGTAAAGGCAATTGGCGTTCTTCTATTTCCCCATTTCCGTGGTACTTTGTTGCTATTGGGGGTTTCCTCTTTGCTTCAATTATTTTTATTTTTGTTTTCATGACTGTCAGGGGATTTAGACAGATATTTACAAAAAGAACAACACAGAATTCAGCTTCAACAATTGAAAAAAGTAACACAAGTGAATCTATGATTCCAATGATAAATCACAAAAAAAGAAAAACAAATAAAATTATTAAATCAAAATTAATAAAAACTGAAGGAGCAACAAAAAATGAAACAAAAAGTCCGAAAACAAAAAATAAAAATGAATCAGTAAATTCTGAATGTACTCTAATGAATGAAGAAGACAGTGAAAGATTGGAATTAAAAGAAGGCAAACAAATTACAGTCATAGACCCCCTATTAAATCAGGTTTGTTTAGTAAATTAAATAAAGATATAACTTTGTGTTTGAAATTTAATTTAAATTAAAAATATAAGAAAGATTTTGATTTTTTGGAGGATTTATTATTTTTTATATTTAAGCAATGGAGTGGTATAATGAGTGAATGAATATAAAGAATTTGTAATAATGAATTTGTATTATTTTTCACTTAATTTTTCATTGTAATAAATAATTAATATTTTAAAATCATATGATCTTAATTACAAAAAATATTTTTAATTTTTATTTAATGGAGTTTTTCAAGCTTTTTTTAGGGAAAATTTATGAATTGGCCATTCATTTTAAAGTTATTTACTCCTCTTCTTTGTTTAAGATTTATTTTTATTTCTTACCTTCACTTCATATCATAAGGATTTTGAGCATAAGGAAGTTGAGGGAAGGTAAAAATTGGCCTATTAAACTTGAAGCAATTGTTGACCTTGAAAGCTTCTTTTAATTTACTCTCTTCACATTTTCTCCAAATTAAATTCTCCAAATAAAATATCAAATACCGTTTTATTATTAATTTTTCGGAAAATTTTTTTAATTTTATAATACTTGAAAGGATGTTATTTAATTGTTATTTTGTAACAATTGTTTTACAATTAACTATTTTTTACATTTTTATTTTAATGAAAAGTGCCTATGAATTAGATACTAAAAAGGTTTAGATATTCTCTTTTTTTATTTAAATTAAATATTTATTTAGTCAGAATTACTTGCTCATTTATTTATATCACGTAATTTAACCCTCAAATTTGAATTATTACAAAAGAATGGAACTGAAGCTAATTTATTTTCAATCAGTGAAAGGGACAGTAACAAATCTTTCCGAATTTCTACATCAACTATAAAGAAAACAGTTAAATTTTAAATCTGTTCGAATCTTGTTATAGTTTATGTCCTTAATGTTGAGAAAATCATACACTAAAATGAGTTGTAGGCAATAAGGTTGGCAGATAGTTGGAAATCTTCGGATATCCGGATCCGTTATCTGAACCGAAAATTTCCGTAGTGCGCAACAACATTTAGGTGTAGATTAAATTAAATTTATACATTATTGAAAGTATTCTACTATAACGAGATTCGATGTATATAAACGTGAATAAAAATATTTTTTCAGATACTTTTAGAATTTATATCAAATATCGATGTTGGGAGAGTTAAACGATTAGAAATTTTAAGTCAATCTCTTGAGGATTATGCTAATTTTCATCTTTTCCATATAATATTTAACGGTCCGTGGCTGACAATTGCAGAAGATTGTAAACAATTAATTAAAATACAAGAGGATCTAAACGAGTTGGATATTTATTAATTAAATTTAATTTAATTATTTATTTAATTAAAATATTATAAAATTCAATTCAATTTTTAATTTCAAATTTTCGATTTCGAATTATGTAGTCATTTAATGTACGAAATGCAAATTGATTCATTAATTACAACAATTGGAGAAAATTATGCTGAAGGGAAGAAAATAAAAAATAATGAAAATAATAATTCACCCAACATTGTTTTGCGAGAGTTTACAGCGGATATAGCCATTCCGCTTGAGATGCAATGTCCAAAATTACAAATAAGATCAGAAAGAGGTATGTAGATTCTTATACAGTCGGACCTCGAATTTAGAAACACTCAAGAAACCTCTCATTTTTAAATCTGGTTGGCCAGATGGTAAGAAAGCTGTCTAAACGATGATATCAATTTAAGATATCTACTTCTAATTTTAATAATATGTAGTTTGGTTTATTCTACCCCTTTTTTCATGAATCCCTGTCCATTATGAGATTTTTTGCTTTGTTGATTTAAGTCACATCTCATTGATCTTACAAATTAGTGTCATTAGACTCAACTCGAAGAGCTCCTCAAATGTTATATAATTTGTCATAGAAAGAGAACAGATGGCTTAAAGAGATTCAGAAAAGGGGTGGAATAAACCAAACTATTACTCTCATTTTTAAATACGATTTTTCATGAACAAGAAGGGTTAAAATGGAAGTCCAACTAATTAAAAATTTAGATAAACGACAATTGTATAAAATAATTTTAAAAAATTAAAGATGAAAAAACATCTGAAATAAGTGAAATCTATCAGAAAATGCAAGAACTTGATCTTAAATTTTCACAAATTGAGCAACAAATATATCGAATAGAAATGTATCAACGTGGTTGTCCAATTTTGGATAACAGTGGAAAAACAACAATTATAGCATCGGGTTCCCTTGTTCAAAATTACACAGAATGTAGTGAATGCCATTGCGATTATGAAGGAAATTTGTATTGCAAGCCAATAGGGTGTCCGTTTTTGAATTGTGCATATCCACTGACACCACTCCATGGGCAATGTTGCCCTCAATGTGGAAAACGGGTAATTAGTTGAAGTTAAATTAGAGTTGCGCCCGACTCTGACTAATACATAAATCTGCTTTAATCTGCGTTTCGATTTTTGGATATTACCTATTTTAAATAATTTTGATAGTTTATCAATAAGAGAATAAGCCTTCACAAGTGTTTAGTACCTCGTACTAAAATTCGTACGAGTATGAATTTTAGCGTTAAATATTGCCCATTTATGTATATTACATAATTTAACTATGTTTAAATTTTTTTTGTTAATTTAAGTGCTTATTCAATGGGCGCTTTTACGAAAGTGGAGAACACTTTTCGCCAAAGACTTGCACTTACTGTTTTTGTAAGGATGGTAGAGTGGAATGTTCTTTTAAGTTGGTTATTTAAATATTTTGAATGGATGTTTACTTTGTAATTTAATTATTTTGGAATATTAATTAAAATTAACAAAATAAAATCGGAATTTTTAAACAGATTTCCCACTCATTGCCCTCAACTTGATTGTAGAGATCGAGAAACGCCTCCCGGTGAATGCTGTCCAGTTTGCAGCAACATTGATCATTGCAGATTTAAATCGTGTTCACCAAATGCAACTTGCCAATCTGGGAAGTACTCTGCTGTTTGTCGTTGTAAAGAGGTAATGGAATGAGACTAGTGAGTCTAATTATTTCCTAAATTATTTTTTAGGGATTTTTTGGAGATGGACAGGATTGCTATGGTAATATTTTTAAATTCAGTACTTTTTCGAATTCGAATCCACTCTAATTTTATCCGAAGATTAATATATAATTAATTTATAATTAATTTACTATTTAGATATTGATGAATGTTTAATGAAAGATAATACAAATATTGAGAAGGTGGATTTTTTTAAATTTATTTAAAAATTAAAAAATAAAATTTGATAGAAAAGAAAATGTGGAAAAGGCACTTTTTGTATTAATTTACCTGGATCATTTCTTTGTAAATGTTTACCAGGATTTAGTCCTATATTGGATGATAAAACAGAAAATGGGACGAAAAGTTGTTTTGATTTAAAAAAGTCATTTAATTAATTTCACATACATACTACATAATTACTAAATTTAACCTGCATATAACTATATTATTTATAAAATATTTAAATCTTATAAATTAAATTTAACAGGATTATTAGGAATCTTTATTTAAATTTATCTATTTATATACATATTAGTTGTATTCCGAGTTGAGCTAAACCGTCGTGTAAAGGAATGAAAAAAGTCCAAAAATTTGGTTAACGGGTTTATTTTTATACGAAATTATATAGGAGAATTAAAAATATGAAGCGATATTTAAATATCCTCTCCCTTGTATAAAGACCACACAATCATTTCAGAATTCCACACTTTCATCTAAGTATTACCTACTTTCCTTAATATAATAGCTAAAAAACAAGAATATTTATTTTTAAATTCTGGGCAGTAAAAAAGAGATTAATTATTATTTTGTAAAGGCAACAAATTATAAACATTAGAGCTGCTTTAAATAATCGAATTAATTTTTAGTAAATAAAGCAGCCCGGAATATAAAATTTTTAAGAAGGAATTGAATTATACATCATTTAAAAGGGATGTTGTGATTGTTTTATAAAAAAATGAGCTTTGTCTTTATTTACAATTTTTAGTCTTCCAGTTTCATAATTTTTATTTTATTTTAATAATTCAATTCTCTAATAAAAATTAATTTCGAAAGAATTGTTACAAAAAAAATAAATTTAAAGCTAAATTAAAGCTTTAATAATTATAATGAAATAAAAAACATAAAACATCTATTACTTAAAACCTTCAATAATATTCCAATAACTGAAGAATATAAAATTAAAAGAGAAAGACTTTTGGTTGAAGAAACTTGTCCACCAGACTTTAAAAATATTAAATTAACATTTAAACTTCTAAATTTACTTGTTGTGCTTCTTGAATACTTTCAATTGTACTTTTTGGTGTTGGAAGGAAGTCCCCATTTTGTGAAGATGTTTTATAATCTAAATCATCTTCTGTCAAAACCTCTCCGTGTACTTCTGCATTTTCTGCACTATTAAATTCTGCACTTGTTGTAGATTGAAAATTGGATGTTGATGATTCTTCGGGTAAAGATTCGGGAATATTACATCTATTCCCCGTCCATCCAACGTTACAAGAACATTTCCCACATTCACAATAACCATTATTGAAACAAGTTACCTTTAAATTAACTTTCCTTTAATTATAAAAATTATTTTTCTTTTACTCCATTTTCGGTACAAGGTTCAGGATCATCATCACAATTACAATCTTTAAATAAATAATTTTTTTGGAAATTTTTTTTAAATTTTCTTGCCTTCCCCGCTGTATCCACGTTCACAAACACCTTAAATTAATTAATTTAATTTATTTTAAAAATTTATTTTTAACATTTTCCGCATTGGCATGTTCCTCTACCAGAACATATTTGTCCAGAAACACTTAATGGACAACTAGAACTGTCACATTCACAATAACGACCACTAATCTTTAATAAAAAACAATTATAATCTATTTTTAATTTTTTACATAATCAGCTTCACATTGACATTGGCCACATTTACATTGACCTTTATTAGAACATATTTGTGCTTGTTTATGTTCTCTACACAATCCTGTTAATTCCTCAGCTTTACTTACTCCATATTTATCTAAATCACATTCACATCTTTCCTTTAAAAATGAAAGAAAGATTTTGAAGAATTTATTTTATGAATGTATAATCTTTATTTAAAAAGAAGTAAATTGAAAATTATTAGATGAAAAAAATAGTTATCGAAATTACCGAAAATTTTTTTAATCAAAATTCAACTATATACATTATTAATTATCTTTGAAATTATTCTTTCGACCTCTCTCTGGAGAGGGTAATTGATAGAGGTGGGGTAATTAATAGAGATCATTTTAGGAAGGCTAATTCTACTAGTTTTAAGGGGTAATTATTGTTTCAACCTTTCGCTGGAAGTTTATAACTAATAGATGTTGGGTAATTATTTGAAGGTGGGTAATTAATATTTTTCTCGTTTTAATAATAAATGTTTTGATAATTAAATATTTTTATTTATAACAAACCCCTCCTTTTCCATGATCACATTGACAAACTCCACAAACTAAATTCCCTGAATAACTACACCGAGGAGAACGTCTTTCCTTAATTTTTTCCTTTACTTTTAAATTAAATTTTCAAAACTTGTTGTCTTGAATGTTCACATTCACACCCACAAATTGGGGTAATAAAAATAGCAGAGACTGTATTATATCCATAAATACCGACAGAAACGGCTGCTAAATTTGGTTTAGAGCAATCTTTTAGAGAAACTGTTGCATTAAAAGAAATTTTTTGGTCGGGTTTAATTCCTGGGCAAACTCTTCCAATTATTTTTTCTCTTTAAAAATTTTTATTTTTAAATTTAAAACAGCCAATTAATTACCCATTACATTCAATTGTAAATTCTATATCTATACCAAGTGAACGAAATTCTGATGTTTGTATAGTAAAATCACGAACTTCATAACCACTTAATGGTAATTTATGCAAATAACGAAATGGGACTTCTATTTGATCGCCTGGAAAAATATTTTTTAAATTTCTATAATATATTCCAAATTAAAGATTAATTTTATAAAAATTGTTAATATCAGGGTATAATTTAAAAACCAGCTGATTTACATATATGCTTAATTTTATAATTTTTAAAGTTATCCTTTAAATTTATGGCTCTTAGTCAATAATCTCTTTTTATCAAAAAATATTCTATTCCAAAATTCATAATTACCCAGGTATTTAAATTTGGCAAGATTTTGAATTAAAAAACCTGCCTGGTTTCATTCTAATTTCAACTTGTTGGGGTTCTAATTGAATAATAGTAACACCATCTGATCTTCTCCCACCCAAGGGTAAATTCTTAAAAATATTTCTTTTTAAAACAAAAATATATTAATTTTATTTACATGGGGAGGTGCTACTTTAATTTCTGTTGTTGGAGAGAAAAGTTGTCGATTTGGACATTTATCTTTTTCTGAAGCAAATACCCATTTAACATCACAACGCTGGCTACTACTATTTAACCGCTTGAAATTTTAATTAATTTAGTAAAATAAATGTTTATTTATTTATACTTTAAATAATATTTTCCTCTTATTTTATTAACTCATAAATTTTAAATAAAATTATCCTCAATAAATAATTATTAAATTATTTTAAAAAATTTTAAGGGAGATTATTAGAGAGCGAGATTTTCAAGAAACTTTGACTTTGATTTTAGGCGAGGACCTTGAGCAGATCAAGGACCTTGAGTCAAGAAAAAATCAAGGAACTCTGAAAAATGCCTTGATCTGGAAAATCAAGGTCTGGATCCAGAGCTCTCAAAAAATTATTATGTAATTCCAATTTATTTTCTTTTAATTTTTACCGTATCAGCACACCAAGCACATTCTGGACTCGAAGCAATACAATTACCACAATTTTGGTTAGCTTCAGGGGTTAAACATTTTTGCCGAAGTTGGTCATTTGTTTGGGCCAAAGAAGAGGAGGGAAATAAAAAAAGGAAAGTAATAATAAAGAAAATAAATTTAAATAAAAATATTAAATTAATTAAAAAAGAATAATTATGAAGAATTGGGGATTGGGAAATTGAAGTTTTGGATGCCAAAATTGGCTTATTTAATGATAAAAACCTTTCAGATTGTTTTATTTTAGGCATTAAAATTCTGAAAATTATGAAAATTAAATGAATTTAAAAATTAACAAGAAATATTTGGAATGAATTTTTATCAAAAAACATATGGAAAACATTTGGATAAAAGTTCTATTAATGATAAATTTAATAATTTAAAAAAAGTTTGATTTTGAAAGGAAAAAACGAGAAAAATGTTAGCAGATGGAAAAAATGTTCAAAATACAAACAAGTTAAAATGATTATTAAAAAGTTTTTGTTTAAAAATATTTTGAGTGATGAAAGGGAATGAACGTCTGTTGAGTTATTAATTAATCATATATTTATTATTTGTAAATATGTTGGAAGAAGGGATTTATTATTTTTTAAAAATTATGTAAAAAAATATTTTTTGTAAAAATTATTTTAAATTATTAGTTTTTTTAGTTTTTTAAATGGTTGGGGTTAGTAACGAAGTTTAGTTTAAAAGGTTATGTTTTTGTGGAAATAAGATTTGCTGAATTAATGTTAGCACTGAAAATTTTAAAAATCCAATTTAATAGGAATATTTTAAAAAATAAAAAGAATAATTTAAATATAAATATTGTAAGAAACACTACATATCTAATACCAAGAAACATATCTAATACTATAATATAAAATATAAGTTAAGTATTAGGTTCGATGACTTGGAAGCATCAGTAATTTTCTGGAATTTATTTAATGTATAATATCTACTATTATTATTTCGTTCAAGACTCTCAAAATATTTTGGAATAATCAAAAAATATAACAAAAAATATTCTCTCGTTAAACAATTCTCCTTTTAAAAAAGCAATTTTCTAAAAGAAAAATAGCGTTTTTTGTTAAAAGCATGAAAAATAATAAAACCCTCCAAATAAATCATTTGTTAAAAATATCCAACCATTATTTTTAGAAAATTGCAAAATTACCTTTTCTTCTTTTTAAAAAAATTTTGTTCTCAAAATAAAATTAAAAATACGAGAAAATGAGGTCATTTTATAGAAAAAAATATTTTTTTATTGAATTCAAAAAAAAATTGAAAGAAAAATAAATAAAAAAGAATTTGTGAAAATAAAACGTATTTTTCTTGAAAATTGGATCAAGCGGAAAAATCATGGAAATGGAAAGTTTTATTTGACAGAATAAAATGAGAGAATTTTGATTTAATAAAAATTATAATTAGGAAATTAAAAGGAGAAAAAAATAATTTTGTTAAACAAGAAACTTTTTTATTCGATTTTAGCTTTTTGTTAAAAGAAAAATATAAAGATGGGTGACAACAAACTTAAACAACAATTTCTTGTTCTTCACTTTGTGTGGGAAACAAAATTGTAAAATGAGGGATATTGTTTTTGG